CCCATGGGCCCTCTGATGGCCTGATCACCTCCCTCTGTGTCCCTGGTGTTGGGGATCAGGTTTCTCAGAGGAACAAGTGCCAATCACAGCATCTCCCCAGATAACATTCTACCACGTGTCCTGTACCATACCTTTCTTTTGGATCCAGTGCCTGACTTCATGTATAACCAGGAAGTAAGTATTCAAGTGGCTGATGCGCCCACTGAGAAAGATAATGCCAGTTCCCAGAAGACTGACCTGCACTTTCCCAAACCCAGACTGATAGACACACAATGGGTTCCCAGGCTTTGCACTGCAGCCATCCTTAGGCAGGGGACGGGCTCAACCCCAGCACTCTGGAGACCGAGGCGAAGGATTGTGAGTTTGAGGCTAGTCTGGACTACATAGCAAGACCCCGTCTTAAAAAATAACTCTCATCATCATCATCAACATCATCTTTAATGTCTTCACGCACCTTTCCCTGCAGTGCTGGGGTCCAGCCAGAGAACCACTGAGTCAAATTTACCTCCTCTCTGTTACTTTAACCATCACGTGCTGTCCTGACACTGACCCACAAGGCTTTGAGGGCCAGCCCGACTTTTCCTCAGGGTGTCCCAGGTACTTAGCAGGGCATCTGAGACAGGACATTCTAACCCATGAGGACACCTGGCATTTAGTGACCCAGCAGTCCCCGCGCCATCCTGCATCCTCAAACCTGACCCAGTGGTTTCTGAATGAAGGCCAGCCTGTGCCCCTGCCTTCCAGGCCTACACGTGAGGCAGCCTGGTGGGACTGACCTGCAGCTACTGGGCCTCGGCTTCTAATGTACATGTGTGTGCACCAAAAGGATAAAGTGCTACCAGAGACTAGAAGAGGCTTGGGATCCCCTGGAACTGGAGTTACAGGTGGTTTTGAGTTACCACATGGGAGCTGGGATTCAAACCTAGGTCTTTGGGAAGAGCGGCCAGTGCTATTAACCACTGACTCCTCTCTCTAGTCCCTTACAGGTGTTTTTACATTGTGTGTGTGTATGTGTGTGGGGGCGTATGTATGTGCGTGTGTATACGTGTGTATATGTCACAGCATCCATATGGGAATCAGAAGACAATTTTCAGGAGGAAAAAGGGGGAATTGATTCTCCCCTTTCAAGTGGGCTCCAGATATCAAACTCAGCTCATCAGTTTGGCAGCAAGTGCCTTTACCTGCTGAGCCGTCCCACCAGCCCTTACAAAAAGCTAACTTTTGCCAAGTGTGGTGGCTTTTGCAATTCTAGCACTCTGGAGGTTGAAGCAGCAGGAGAGTTCAGTGCCAGCCTGGGCTACAGAGTAAGATTCAGTCTCTAGAGCTGGGTGTAGTGGTACACCCCTTTAATCTCAGAACTCAAGAGGCAGAGGCAGGTGGATTTCTGTGAGTCCAAGGCCAGCCTGATCTACATTGTAAGTTACAAGATAGCCAGGGCTACATAGTGAAACCCTGTCTCCAAACAAATCTATCTAAATAAACAGGCTGGGGAAATAGCTCAGTGGTTACAGTGCTTCAGCATGAGGAGGAGCGTCAGAACCCACATCAGCACCAGGAGGCTAGCGGCTTTCCTATCTTTCCAGCCTTGGAAGGAAAAGACAGGTTCTGCAGGGCAAGCTGGCTATAAGGATGAGTCATATGGGGGGCTCTGGGTTTAATGGAGACACGATGATTCCCAGCATTCACCTTGGGCCTCCACATGCATGCGCATTGTATGTGCATATGTGTGCACACGTGTGCAAATCCCACATACACATGGGTGCTCGAACAAACAGAATAATAAGGTTAACTTTCAAAGTCACCCTATCTAATCACTTCCAGGATGCCTATATAACTAAAAAACCAGTAATATAAAATATCAAACACTAAGGGGACAGGGAGAAACTGGAACCCTTGGGCATCGCTGTTTGCCTTTGTTTATTTTAAAATTTTAAGACAGTCTCACACTGCAATCCAGGTTGTCCTTGAACTCAAAATAATCCTGCTGTATCAGCTTCTTGATCGCTAAGATCTTAAGTGTGAGCCACTGCACCCTACTTGTTACTGGGTGTGTAAACTGGTGCAGCTGCTGTGGAAACAGCTGGGTGGGACCTCAGGCCGTTAAGCAGGGTCACACTTTGACCCCATCACACCCAAGAGAACTGTAAACAGATCTGTACAAAAACACAAATGTTCACAACAGCACGGTTCACAATAGTCAAAGGGTGGAGACAACCAGACGTCCATCGGCGGTGAATAGACACACAGAATGTGGTCTGCCCATACAATGGGCTGTTATTCAGCCAGAAGAAGGAATACAGTTCTGACCCGGGCTGCAATATGGATGAACATTGGAAACATGATGCTGAGGGAGTGAGCAGCCAGACACACAAGGTTCCTTTTGTAGGATTTGTGTGCGATGTCCGCAGCCTGCAGCTTCAGAGTGGTAGATTAGTGGCTAGAGGGGCCGGAGAGGAGGGAGTGTGGGTTCATGGGCAGTTTCTTTTGGGTAATGAAGATATCCCAGAATTAGACCGTGGTGACTAAGCCACCGCTGTGATGAATTTTATACAGTTTTATATAATTTTATTCCCTTAAACTGAGAAATATCACTAGGTGTATCTTAGCACCCTGGTCTGAACCCAGGAACAGGAAGACATTGGTGGAAAAAATGATAAAGCACAAAAAAGCTTGGAATTTCAGTGACTGTGAGAATGTGTGTTGGTCCCAGTGGGTAGATGAACCTGTCGTGTGTGGGGGCCAGGAAGCTGTGAAGATTCTGGACTGTTGCTGCGGCATTTCTACGAGCTTAAACTGCATCCAAATTCAAACACTGATTTCTAAATTCATAGCTATCCCCTAAAGAGGAGCTAGCTCAGACTCTAGAAAGTTCTTTCGCTGGCAAAGGCCTCACTTCCAGGCTTGGTTTTACAAACTGGGGTGTTGGAGCGACCACCTGGCCTAGAAGAGGTTAGCGTCCTGGACCCACAGCTGTTAGGAGGGGGACAGAGGTGCCTGCCCACACCAGAGCCCCGTGGCAGCTGCTGGCTCCTTCATCAGGAAGCTGCAGGGACCTGGGGGAATAGGGGGTCTAATACTGAGGCTCCAATTCCTGAGCCATGCTAAAGACCCCTCTAGGTGTGGGTCATGGCGCCTGCTAACGGGAGACAGCTGGAGCCAAAGTGTGGTGAAGCAGCTGACCGCGTCCTCAGGAGGAACTGCTCCGGGAGGCAGAGCTGCCCCTTTCTATTCCTTCAGGTTAGCCAGAGCTGAAGCGTGCTTCTCTTGGTACGCTGGGCTTACCTTTCTCTGAAGTGACTGCCCTCCAAAAGGCTGGCTTATCTTTTCCTTTATCATCCACCAGGCAGCTTTGAGATTTATAATTTGCCTATCCTGAGGTTTTCTTTTCAACCCTGATACATTATCCTCAGCCGGGGAGTAGGGACGGGGGCCCTGGCCTCCACTCTACAGTTGATATTTCCAGCTTAATCTGGAATCATCCAAAGACCAAACAACAAACCCGTAGTTCTACAAACCAGTTGCATTCTGAGGTTGACAGGTTTCCCTTTGTGGTGAGCTGTGTGGATACCCCAAAAGATATCCATGCCAAGTACCTGGAACCTGAGATGGACCCTGATTGGAGGAAAGGTCTGGCAGACGTGACTACACCAAGGCCCTCAGATAAGCTCACTCTCCATTATCCAGGTCACCTCAGCGCAATGTCAGGTTCTGATAAAAGCACAGGGAGATCCCAGATACTTTCAAACTCTGTCTGGTGACGACGACAGAGGTTGAGTCTGGAGTGATGGGGCCACTAGCTGAAGAACACAGGAGTCACCAGAATTTGGAAGGGCCCCAAGATGCCCTGCTTTGGATTTGTGGTCTCCCACACCACGAGACTGCACATTTCTTCTGCATTTGTCACAGCAATGAGAGGAAGCAAATGACCTACATCCACCCCAGAACCCCCTTCTAGGTAAGAGCAGAGAGGCAGGAAGTTCTTGCAATGCACCCCCTTTTATAGATGGGGAAACTGAGGCCCATAAAGGGGACCTCAGCAATCCTAGCTTTCCTCTGGGCCAATTTGGCTCATCTATGAATCTTGTTGGTTCTTTACAATATTAAGTATCTACAAAATATAATCACTATAGATAAACATAGGCAAAGCAAGGATCCAGATAGCACCTGTGCAGGCTAGTGTTTGTCAACATGACACAACCTAGACACACCTAAGAGGGGTCTCAGTTGAAGAATTGTCTCCATCAGATTAGCCTCACAGGCATAGCAATACTCACCTGTGACCCCAGAGGTCATGAGTTCAAGGTTGGTTCACCATAAAGAGACCCTGTCTTAAAGTCAGAGCTGAATTAGTCACAGGCCCTTCCTAGGCTCAGGCCTCTCTTCCCACATGGCTGTGTTGAGGAACTAGAAATTAGATTCCCTGGGGGGGCAGACAGATGGGTTAGGGGCCGTGACTATGGGTACTAAAGATGGCAAAATGCTGAGATGGCTGGCCTCTCCCCCTTCACCTGCTACAAAAGGGCAGGCTTCCTCTCCTGCGAGTGGGCCCCCGCTAGTGGACCAGCCTGTTCAGTTCAAGGTGGGGTTTTCTTCCCCTAATTTAGGGTTGGTCAGTTTGAACAAAGACAGGGAGGCTGATTGGTCCACAAATTTGGGGGTAAACAGGTCCTACCTTTTAATTATTTAACTGAATCAAGATCCCTAGACAATACGTGTTCTCTTCCTCAGACTGGGTGGTGTGAGAGGCCCTCACCTTGATGGACAGAAACAGGTGGTGTCGGCTGGCTTTGGCTGTCATGAAAGCACAAGGGTCCCTGGTATTTGGGGACTATCAACTTGACTGCACCGGCCTCATGTAGAAAGCTGACACACACATCTGCTCCATTCCTAGGGCTGTGAAGAGCACAGACTGGGGCTTCAAGACACACCCCTAATTGCTCCTGCATGTCTGCACTGTGCAGGGCCCAAAGAGAGCCAGATCCACGGGAAGCCTCCCAGGGTAGAGGTCAGAGGTAGTGTACACTTTATTGACCCAGTTCTCCCCAAACCTCAAAACCAGGACAAGGCCAGACCCTGGGCATTGCCTTAGTCTCTCTCCCTCTACCAATCAGAGAACTTATCTCACAAACAGGGGTCCTCCGCAGAATAGCAGGGTGGACATGAGGGGAGGGTGCCAGCCAGGGGAAAGGATGAAGGGCTCAAGTGCTGGGGATGGGGCTGGGGGCACCCCAAGGCCCACCAGGCCTGGCCAGCCCCTCCTCTGAGGTTCCTGGTGGTTCACAGTGAGACTGGCTTTGATTGGCAGGGGGATAATGGGCAGTCAGTCCCCTCCCACTCTTCTGCCCACCCCTGGCCTGACTCAGAGCAGGGAGGCTGGAAGGACAGAAGGCCAACCCGTGAGTCCCCCTAGGGGACAGGGGCAGAGGGGGCTGCTTAGTTCTCTCCCAGCCGTCCTCCAGGTGGTCAGGAAGGGCCGTGCACTCCTGGCTCAGAAGTCTTGAGGACAGTTTAGTAAGCTTCCTCACTGCCAGTCCCAAAAAGAAAAATGTTTTTGAAATCTAGTTGACTGGAGCACGTTAAATGGAGCAGTAAACACCCTGGTGACTTGGTTTAAAAAGGCTGCTCTACCTTGGCAGGCCTGGAGGGGCCAAGAAGGGAGACAGTAGAAGAGGGTTGCCCATGGCAGCCAGTGGGGGCCTGGGGAGCAGGTGGAAGGAGGCAAGATGCAGGAAGCAAGAGTGGGGCTTGGCAGGTCGCCTCCAGTGCTGCAGCCGGGGCCCAGTGCGGGGCCAGCCTGGCTGTCAGGCCTTGTGCTCGCCGCTGCTGGGCGGCTCATTGTGGCCAGCCGTGTAGTCCGAGTGGTGCTCGAGTCCCAGCATCTGGCGTTGCACCAGCTTGGCATAGAGGCCGCCCTGTGCCAACAGCTGCTGGTGCGTGCCCTGCTGCACCACACGGCCCTTGTCTAGCACCACGATGAGGTGCGCTCGCTCCACGGTGCTCAGCCGGTGTGCAATGATCAGCACCGTGTGTCTCTGCAGGTTGCCGTGGATGGCCTGCTGGATCTGCAGGGAACGGGACAGAGAGGTTCAGGGGCTGCACAGCATTGACACTCTGCTCTCCCACACCCATCCCCTGCTGCCCCCTGACATTCAGTTCTTGGGTCGTAAAATGAGGGCCAAGATAGAACCCAACCCTGAGTCTCTAGTCCAGACAGCTCAGGTGCTAAATAAGGGGTGCCTGGAGAACCAGAGATAGCACCCGTCAGCCCCAAGGCCCGAGCTAGGAAGAGCAGGTCCTGAACAGCCCTGAAGCCACAGCATCCGTTCATTTCTTCCCCTCACTTCCCGCTGTGCGATTCCAGCTTCCTGCTGGTGCTACCCACTCCTTACACACATGGAGGCACACTTGTCTGTGTGCACATGAACACGTAAACGTGTGGAAGTCAGAGGACAACCTGTGGGCATTGGTTGATCAGCTTCATAGTGAGTCCTGCCTCGTCATCACCTCCTGCCTTCTCCCGTTTCTCCCCCTCCACTGACTGGGGCTCTGAACACCTTGCTGCCCTTGCTCCTCAGAACTCCCCAAGAGGTTCCTTGGCTCTCAGGTCTTAGCTAAGAGGTGACTTACAGCCTGGTCCTCACAGTGAGCGCCAGAGAGTACATGATGACTCCATGTAACCCCCATGGTGCCACTATGCTCCTAGATGCACAGTGACTCTTGGGTGCCTTCCTGAAAATGCCCAGCATTGGTGTATGCATTTCCTATCTGAGTCAGTATCTGCTACAGGCCCCTGCCCCCCTCCCTCCGCATTTACTAACTAGGACTCAACACGTGTGGCCTCTATTGCTCTGTGATATGCGTTTAGCTCCTACTACCAGACTGTCTCTCCAGGACCGAGAGCCATTGTTCTAGAACAAGATCACAGAGATGGAGCGAGTCCTGTCACTGTTCTCTGAGGGAAGTCACAATCATAACCTCCATCACTACCGCTGGACACTGACATGCCGTACTCCCATACTGACAGCCTCTGCCATGCTGTCCCAGTTCTGTCCCTTCCTCCCTCCTTTTAAGTGCCTGTTTCCTCTGCACCAGGCAAAGAGAGCTCAGCTGCTTCAAGGCTTCACTGAAAGCCCAGATGTGTGTATGCTGGACAACGGCTGCCCATCCCTTTACCGGCATAGGCGATTGACAGTTCTTCTCTGGAGCACAGGCTACAGGGACTTGTTTGTGACCTGTCTGTCCCACGAGGCTGGAATGCCATGAGGACAGAGGTCTTGTCTGTCTTGTCTATCTCTGTAGCTCCAGTGTCTAGAGCAGGGCATGGCGCCTGGGACCAGGCCAGTCACCATCTGTGTAAAGGGCCAACTGGCCCTTGGCAGGATGGGCACGGGCAACTAACCAGCACCAAGGACATGGCCACTGACTGAGGAAAGGCTGTCTGTCTGGACAGAGCTGCAGTGCTGTGGGGGGATGCTGCCAGCCCAGAGCGGATTACAACTTGTCTTGGGCTAGCTGTAGCCCCCTAAATTGCCAGCCCTTGCCTACCTCTGTGTCAGATCTAACAGCCTGTGGCTATCAGAGAAGCTGAGATTTCTCCTCTTGGCTATAGCCCATCTCCCTGATGTTTCCGCTGATGCGTTTGAAAGTGTTTGGCTTATGACTCTCTTTGTTCTGTTACTATAAAAACTTCATGAACAGCTTCTATGTTGGAACATGGAATTTGGGATAACCTATGTGCCCAGGCTGAGGTCCCTCATATTGGCTCCAGGATGCAGTAACCCCCTGAGGAGAGAGTCGTTTATGCTGCCCAGTGTGGGATCCAAGAACCATCCACTTTTCACTAGAGGAGTAACCTGGTTGGAAGCGAGTTACCAGTAGGGACCCACTGAGTCTAAGCCTTCTGGCATTTTATCTTGAGTGTATGGCTGCGGTCCTTCTGGGGTGCTCTCAGGCCTCCCTTGCTTGGGCCCATGGCATTTGTTGGTCTGGGCTGGTTATCCAAGCTCCTGTGGCAGATGCCTGTGCTTCTTAGGGTGTTTGACGGCGTTGGTTTATTTTCTGTGGGGCGTTTTGGTCTAGGTACTGTATGGTTTACTAAAGTCGTTTGGTTAATGCCCACTTGTCTTCGGTTTTTTGTTCACATTTAGGCATCTGAGGGGTTTGCTGTCTTTGAAATACTGTAACTCGTTGCCATTCAACTTTGCCCTGACCCTTGCTGCTTTTAGCTGAGGACTTTTCTCAACTCCCGACAATAAGGGAGAGAGGCGCTTGTCCGTCCAGCTCAGCAGCCACACCCCACGTCTGGGTCAGGAGGAGACACATTTGATCACCCAGGGTCTCGACTCTCACATTTATGGACATGTTTGGGATTAACTCCAGAGCCAGTAGAAAGGAAGGTCTCAGGTGAGAGTGGGCAGTCTGTCCCCAAAGCGGCACATACCCCGAACCAAACAACACTGCGCTTCCTAGCTAGCTGAGAGGGGCTTGCAAAGAGTTCTTGCTTTTTGAGACAGGGTTTCTCTGTGTAGCCTGGCTGTCCTGGAACTCACTCTGTAGACCAGGCTGACCTCGAACTCACAGAGATCCACCTGCCTCTGCCTCCTGAGCGCTGGGATTAGAGGTGTGCGCCACTACTCTGGGTCTTGTAATTTTTCAGAGGAAAGAAAAACTGGGGAAAAGCTTTCCCAAAAAGGAGTCGTGTCTGAGGATACAGCATGCGTGGTGTGATGCTCTGTGTGACGGACTTGAACCTGAAAGTGTTGAAAATACGGGAGATCAAGCCCGTCTAACTCGGCTCCATGACTCCCTCGGGGGCGGGGGGGGGGACACCTGACATTTCAAACTTGGTAATCCTGAAGGGGCAGCCTGCTTTACTTGGAACACAAAATCATTTAATAAAGGAAAAGAAATTATAAAAGTGGTAACTTACAAAAATTAGTAATTTTACAAGTGAGTTAAAAGGATACATTAAAAATCAATTGTAGGGGCTGGAGAGACGGCTTAGTGATTAAGAGCATTTGTTGCTTTTGCAGGGACCAGAGTTTGATTCCTAGCACCCACGTGGTGGTTCACAACCATCTGTGACTTTAGTTCCTAGGGATGCGATGCCCTCTTCTGACCTCTGTGAGTACTAGGCATGTACATGGTACACATACATACATGAAGGCCAAACACACACATAAAAATAAAATTAATAACTTGAGTAAACCTTTTTAAAATATTGACGTTATAAGAGAACTAAGGCTAAATCCTGAGGCCAACCTCCACTCTTTTTTTTAATGTTTATTAATGTTTTTTAATGTTTATTTATTTATTACATATACACTGTTCTGCCTGCAGGCCAGAAGAGAGCACCAGATCTCATGGATGGTTGTGAGCCACCATGTGGTTGTTGGGAATTGAACTCAGGACCTCTGGAAGAGCAGTCAGTGCTCTTAACTTCTGAGTCATCTCTCCAGCCTGCAACCTCCACTCTTTAACAGAGCAAAGTCCTTTATCAAAGGAAAACATTATGGCCTGTTTTAAAGATAAACGCTAGGGAGAGAGGAGAATACACATTGTATTAAACTTGTGAAGGCCACTTTATCCTGGTGAAGACACTGGGGTGTGTCTTTCAGTTTCTCCTTGGGCAGCTTTCTTTAACCTCTGTGTTTAAGCCGACGTTAAAATACCTCATTCTACCAGCCCATCCTAAGGTTCCTTTGGTTGAAGCCACAGACCTGTTTGGTCTGAGCTGGGGTCCCTAAGGCTCAGGGGACTCCTTGGGCCACAGGAGCTTCGCCTCTGCCTTGGCTGCTGAGCTCCACCTCAAAGCGCTGCTGGCCGCCCTGCCTTGCCCTTCCTTGGGCTCCTTCGCTGCTTTTTTCTGTCTAGAGGCCCACTTAATATTTCCTAAGCCCCAGCTGCTGTCTGTGTTTCAACTTTACACTGCACAGAGGATCCAAGGGAGAAACAGCCACCTGAGCCGTGGTGAGCAATGCTTGGTAACCGGCTATAGCCAGGCCTGTGTGGCCGCAACCTGTCCCGGGTGTGGACTGTGTTCCAGATGGCCACAGGCCAGAGCCTGATCCCAAAACTATTTTTATTTTCTCTTAGATACACACACTTTCATCTGTGAGGCAGCTCTTCCCCCTTAGCTACTGAATCTCTTAAAAGAGGAAGGAGTCATATTATGTGTCCACGGCCAACTTGCTCATCTTTATGCGCTAAGTCTTTCTCACACCTCACTATTTTATTATTTTATTTTGGCAGGGGGAGGAGCAGGGTTTCCCTGTATAGCTTTGGCTGTTCTGGAACTCACATTGTTGAGCAGACTGGCCTTGAACTCAGAGATCTGCCTCCCTCCTGGGGTTAATTAAAGGCACGTCCCACCACAGCCCAGATTTTAAATTTTGTTTATTTATTTTTGTTCGTTTTTTTTCGAGACAGGGTTTCTCTGGGTAGCTTTAGTGCCCATTATTGAACTCATTCTGTAGACCAGGCTGGCCTTGAACTCACAGAGATCTGCCTGGGCCACTATCACCTGGTTAAGTTTTTTTTTAAGTCACATATATGGAGTCCAGAGGAGAGCTTCAGCTTCCCTGGAGCTGGAGTTACAGGTGGTTGTGAGCTCCGATGTGGGTGCTGGAAACCAAGCTCTGATCTCTGTAAGAGCAACACCCTCTTAACCACTGAGACACCCCAACCTTTTTAAAGTGGGTGCACACACTTTATGTAATTGTGTGATTTTCATGTTACTGTGTCATGTATGTGTGTGTGAACTGTTTTCATATGTTTGTGTAAAACAAAACTTTTATTGTGTGCTAATTATTTTTGGCATGCATAATTAAAAGACAAATGTACAGATTCCTAAGAGTGGTTATTTTGGTGATATATTATAAGCCCTGACAGACACATAAGTCCTCACGTAAACTGAAGTGTGACACTGGATCAGCTTCATTTTTTTAATTTAAAAATGTATGTGTATGAATGTTTTGACTGCATGCATGTATTTGTACTACATGTGTACCTGGTACCTTCAGAGACCAGAAGGGAGTGTTGGATCCCTGGAACTGGAGTTACAGGAGGCTGTGAACCTCCATGTGGGTGCTGGGAATTGAACCTAGGATGACCAGGTTTTCATCCCTCCACCCCCAGCTTCCTTTTGGTTCATGTAATACTAAAATTTTAAGTTGGGGGGGGGGGGAAACCCAACTCCGACTGGCTAAGAAAACCTGGCTACAGTTCAGAATGCCAATTAAATGACAAAGGATAAAGAGGTATTTAATCAGTGTGACCCCAGGAAAGACAAATGGAGGCAGCTGACGGCTCTAGATTTTTTTGAGCTTTAAAATTAAAATTAAATTAAAAAAAAACACAAGGTCTACATGATTATACAGTTCTGGTCATCTCCTTGGGCCTGTTTCAGTTCTGGCATAAATTCATTTTCGAGACGATGGCTATCCCACTCCAGAGTGCGGGTTCCCTTGGGCTAACTGCCAGAGACTGGGAAGATGGCTCATCTGTGCTTTGTACAGTGCAGCGTTGCACAGAACTGGGCCACTCCTGCCTCTAAACAAGTGAACAGGGGTTTCAATGTCCTTATCTTGACCAAGCGTTAGACATCTGAAGGGGGAAAAAAGTATTTAAAAAAAGAACCTGTACTGGGTAGTGGTGGCGCACGCCTTTGATCCCAGCACTTGGGAGGCAGAGGCAGGTGGATCTCTGTGAGTTTAAGGCCAGCCTGGCCTACAAGAGCTAGTTCCAGGACAGCCAGAGCTACACAGACAGACCTGTATCAACTCCCCCCCCCCAAAAAAACCTATAAGGCTTACAAAGACATCTAGAAGTTTATAGTGGACATTATTCATGTTTTTATTTTTAAAGACAAAATATTAACATACTTACAGTGAGGGAAAAGCAGACTATAACTGTTAGATAGACTACATATTTTTCTGTTTTATATACAGCCTCCAGGTTTTCATTAAAATTTTCTCTTTAAGAAATGTTTTCTACGGGCTGTAGAAATGGGTTAGAGATTAAGAACACTGGCTAATCTTCCAAGAGACCTGGGTTCAATTTCCAGCACCCACATGGCAGCTCACAACTGTCTGATACTCTCACACAGACATACATGCAGGGAAAACACCAATGCACATAAAATAAAAAAAAATGTTTTCTATTCAGGGGTGGTGGCACACTGCCCGGCAATGCTTCTGTTTATAAAGTTAAGATTTTCCTTTTTAGAAAGCACATGCGCTGGGTGTGGTGGTACAAACCTTTAATCCCAGCACTCAGACAGGAGGAGGATCTCTGAGATGGAGGCCAGCCTGGTCTACATAGTGACCTCCAGGAGAGCCAGGGTCACAGAGAGAGAACCTATCCTAAAACAAAACACAGTCTGAGTGTTTGCCTGACTGTGTGTCTGTGTACAGTGTGCAGTGCCCGTGGAGACAGAAGCAGAAGACTGACTGACCCAACACCCCTGGAACTGGTATCGCAGATGGTTGTGAAGCCACCATGTGGGTACTGGGAATGAAATCCATATCCTCTGAAGAGTGGTCAGTGCTCTTAACCACTGAGCCGTCTCTCCAGCCCCAAGTAAGGTTTTCTTAAATACTGATCTATTCTTAATAATGTCTACAAAGAAGAAAAGAAAAAGAAAGGTATGTAAAGCAGGAACTCTGTATTTCTCTTTGATTAACGATGAGAACAAACTCAATCACGGGCTTTGCCTTAGTTCCCACTGGAAAAGCCTGTGTTTGCTGGACAGTTACTGCCTTCACATAGCAGAAATTCTATTGAGACTCATTCCCGCTCGAGTCCATGATGACTGTAGAACTCATCTATATGGACAAATATTCCAGTCTGTTTAAAAATTTAACCTATTAGGTAAACAACTAATTGTCAAAATTACTGAAGCTCTCTTTCTTTGAAGGCTTGCCCTTTGGAAACACATTCATTAACGCCTCATAAAAAGTCTATGTGCCATTTCTACTAAAGAAAACACGTACTATAAAAATTCAAATGATTAAAACAGCCACCCAGAAAATCCAGCAACTGAAAGTAAGGACATTTCCCCCAAAGACTCATTCTCCCGGAGGAGGGAGACTGTCGGCCTCGCTCCACTACAGAACCTGTGGTGAACGGCTCTCGGCTCTCAGGATGCTGATGACGCTCAGCTCAGCTCTGCTAACAGTCAGTGCCCCAGGTAACTGAACATTTCTGTTTTTATGTTTCTTTTTTTTTAAATTTTATTTTATGTACATTGGTGGTTCGCCTGCATGTATGTCTGTGTGAGGTTGCCAGATCTTAAAGACAGTTGTTAGCTGCCATGTGCTGAGAATTGAACCTGGGTCCTCTGGAAGAGCAGTCAGTGCTCCAGCCCCTGTTTTTATGTTTCTTAAATCCTTTTATAATTAGACATTTTTGTTTTTTGAGACAGGGTTTCTCTGTATAACTGGCTGGTCATGAACTCACAGAGATCTGCTTGCCTCTGCCTTCCAAGTGCTGGGATTAAAGGCAAGAGCCATCACCACCCAGCTATAATTAGACTTTTTAAATCATTCATGATACTTAATATTTCACTTGGTTTATTTCTAAATGATAACATACTAATTTTTGTTTTAATGAAGTCACTAATGAGGGAATTGTCCTGTTTCTGTGGCTGGTTGCTTACCTAGAGCCCCTCCCTACCTTATTTAAAACTAGTTTCTATGTCTAAAAGATTCGAGTGTGTTCACTGTCTTTGTGACAGATATTTTTCTCATTCAGTATAATTTGGCTTTAAAAAAACCTTGTTTTTAAATCAACAAAAATTTATCTTAAATCTCCTTTTAAAAAAGCTCCTCCAATGTGGGAGCATCAATATTTTATATCAGAATTCTTACAGTCAAAGTAAACAAATATTTTCCTTTTAAGAAAAAATGTAGATGGGCGGGGTGTGTGTGTGGGCTGTTGCCTAGTCGCTTTCCAGAAGCTTGAGGGTAGCCAGGGCTACAAGGCTCAAAGTCCAATCATTTAACATCCATAGAAACAGTGATCTAAACACTGTAAAAGGCCCGATTACACACTCAAATGTTTACAAAGTACCTTGAACTCCATTATCTCCAGCTAGAGACACCCAAAGATTTAACTCTTCATAACACACACACAAACACAAACACACACACACACACATCTCTAACAAAATCAGCTTTCGCCAAGTTTACCCCTTAAGTGCTGTGTTTCTTGATTAAACAGTGTCTAAATTGTCCCACAGTACAGTTAGCTGGGACTAATTTAAACAATATTTGTATTTTGCTAATGGAAAGGAAATGGATGGTCTCCAGATTCCCACTTCTGTTTCTGCCATTGAAGTAAAAGGATCCTGTTGGGTCTGTGAAGACTGGCTCTCTCAGTGCTACAGGCCTGAGCTCCCGCTCCCCTCACTGTCAGTCAGCACATGCTGAGGACATCAAGGGGACCAGATTAGACAAGGTGAGCGTCCACAGGCCAGAGCTACAGTGTGGGCTGCACATCTGTCTTTCCTAGCTGGCTGCCCCATCATGCAAGGCTAGAACTATGCCATCAAGTTGGCCAAAGGAAAAGCTTAAGTTAAAAGATCTAAGAAGACAGTTCAGAATACCAATAACTATAAATACAGAGACATGGCCGATCTGGTTTTTTTAAACAATAGGTGAATTTCGGTTGTTTAAAATGTTTCCTTTATTGTTGGTATTCTTATTTAATTTAATATAAACCCTACTACATGCCACATGTGAACACTATCAGATCTGGAGCACAGCCAGCAGGCTCCCTGATAGAGAACTGTCTTCCTTTTTGTTTGTTTGTTTGGTTTTTGAGATAGGGTTTCACTGTTTAGCTCTGGCTGTCCTGAAACTCACTCTATCAACCAGGCTGGCCTCAAACTCACAGAGATCCACCTGCCTCTGCCTTCGAGTGCTGGGATTAAAGGCATTGCCACTACTGCCTGGCTGAGGACTGTCTTCCTTTATGGCCTCTCTCAAGACTGCCCTGACTATCACCTTGCCTCATCTACATCAGATCCTGGGAATGAGCTCCTGTGAGGAATGTTATATAAACTGATAATGTGTGGACCCCATGCATAAAATGCCATGCTAGCCAACAGGAGCTGTGAGTGAGAACCTCTGGAAACGAGTGTGTCTCGTCACAACTGTGGTAACACCACAGGCTGGTTTCAAACCCCAAGGGTCAGTCTTTGCCCACCTGTGTTAGACTTAACAAACTGTGACTAACAAGTAAAAACCCTTTTGGAATGGGTTAACTTAGCAGACCCTGGTTACAACAATCCAAAAGCTAAGTGTGTCATCAGACAGAAAGTGAGGCCCATGACAGAGCTTCCCAGCCTTGCTGGAACTGCCTCTGATGTTTCCACCAATGTATTTGAAGTGTCTCGATTTGGGACTCTTTGTTCTGCCACTATAAAAACTTCATGAAACTAGAACCTGCTTCCATACTGGACCTGGAGCTGAGGACAACCTGAGTCTGTGTTCCTGGGCCACAGTCACTTATTTGGCTCCAGAATAAACTCTGTATTGGCCCCTTGAGGGCCAATGTGTCCTATCACTGAAAGACAGGCTTAGAAGGGAGGAACAGCTTAAAGCCACAGAGTAAGTTGCAGGGTGCGGCATTTGTGCAAGGCCTTCAGGTGTGAGAACAAAAGCAGTGAAGGAGAGAGGAGGAGGAGGGGACACGGAAACACGCAGGATGGGCTTCCTGGCAGGTCCTCTGGCAGGACACTATTTCCATGGCACTTTACTGTAGCTCTGATTAGAGCTGGGGGCCCAGACCCTAAAGTGCCCACGCCCTGAACTCCCTGCTTCCCTTTCATGACCCCAGAGAACCTGTAGCCATCTCTCAGGGCACCTGGCCACTACCTCCCTCCAGCAGCCCCGCTCCCTCCACTCACCAGGTATTCACTCTCTGCATCCAGAGCACTAGTGGCTTCATCCAGGATGAGCACAGGTGGGTTCCGCACCAGGGCCCGCGCCATAGCCACCCGCTGCTTCTGGCCACCTGACAGCTGGGCTCCTTTCTCTCCGGTCTCTGCACGGAGGAAGCACAGAGTGAGTTATTAGGAGGCTTCTTACTCCCTGTCACCTGGGCACCAGCTATGCAGACATTTCTGAGGGTCCCCGGTTGGGACCACCCACGGACGGTAGCCCAGGAAGAGATACCACGGTGCGGGTGCGTGAGGACCATCCCCCACATGCACCAGAGAGATGCCTAAAAGTACAGCAATGCACTGTGCTGTTTGGTGTGGTCGGCAGGGAACAGTCTTCCTGGACCCAGCACACTAGGTAACTCCACTGTGATGTTCTGCCCTGACACTTTGTTGAACACAGTGTGCAAGCCTGCCTCAAGCAATGTCCCTACAGGTCAAGTCTCTCCCACAGAGGACCAGAGGCAGGTGTTGGGTGTGATTACAGCATTGTCATTACCAAGACAAATATTAATAAGAACAACTCAAATGTCTGTCAATGGGAAATCAAATCAATAAGTCATCATAAAAGCTGGACACTTAATGCAGATAAGAGGAAAGAGGGGCGGGACAGGTCCTTGCACCAATAGGAAAGGTCATTAAGATGCACTAAGGACAAAAGCCACCAAGTACACAATTAAAGGGCTGATCTTTGTCTATAAAAGGGCAGAATAAAGACATAAAAGACCGGGTGTTATAGTGTGGTGTACAACTGTGATTGCTACACTCTGCTCTGGGAAGCTGGGGTGATGCAGGCTCAAGGTCAGCCTGGGCTACACAGTAAGACTGTCAGGAAACCCAAGGAAGGTCTGGAAGATGTCGTAGCAGGTGAAGGCTCTTGCACAGACCTGACAGTGAGCTCAGACTTGGGTCCATGGTGGAGGAGAAAGCTGACTCCTGAAAGTCGGCCTCACACAAATAAATCTTTAGGTAGCCCAGTAACACTATATACACATGCATACATGTCCATGCACACATGCACAGACACACACACATGCATACTGTTTGCTGAGACAGGGTCTCCGGTCTAGCTTAGAATTTGTATCAATCTCCCTGCACCACCATGCCCAGTTAAATGGACATTTTGTTTCTTTTTTTTTTTTTTTTTAAAAATTGAGCCAGGTGGTGGTGGTGCACACTTTTAATCCCAGGAGGCAGAGGCAGGCGGATCTCTGTGAGTTTGAGGCCAGCCTGGTCTACAGAGTTCCAGGACAGTTAGGGATACACAGAGAAACCCTGTCTCTAAACACACACGCACACACACACACACACACACACACACACACGCACGCACACACACACAAAATCTCAAACAAAAACAAAACGAGTGTTTTGCCTGTATGGATGCCTGTGCACCACATGCCTGGTGTCCCAGAGGCCACAAGGCACTGGAGCCTCTGGGACAGGAGCTGCAGCCAGTTGTGAGCTGCTTTGTGGGTACTGAGGATCGAACCCTGGTCCTCTGAAAGAACAGCAACATGCTTAAGTCACCTCTCCGGCTCCCTGTTTGTTCATTTTTGAGCCAGGGTCTCACCATGTGGCCCTGACTGGCTTGGAACTTGCTACGTAGACCAGGCTTGAACTCAGAGATCTATGTTCCACCATCCCTGGTGGTATATATGACCTTTTTCAAAGACCACATGCCACTGAGACTAACTGACGCGTCCATGTTTGTGTGACTGATGGGAAGAAAATGAGATGATGGGGCCTGGGTGCACTGGCAGCCCTAACTCAGAAGTGCATCATGGTACCTGTGCTGTACCCGTCCTGCAGCTCCATGATGAAGCCATGGGCGTTGGCCTTCTGTGCGGCCTCCACCACCATCTCGAAGGGCACGGTGGGCAGGCCGTAGGAAATGTTGTCTGTGATGGAGCGGGCGAACAGCACGGGCTCCTGGCTTACCAGAGAGATCTGTGGGGAGTGGAGAGCAAGCTGGCTAGGAGAGGCTGGCCATGAAGCCTCCACCAGCTGTCATTGGCAGCCCCCCCCCCCCCCCGCCTGGCTGACGCCAGGAGTCTCAGGTCGGTAACCTAATCTGCATGCTGGCTGCACTCAACTGCCTCCTCTAGCTGGGGCCCTTGGTACCCACCCACCCCCATACCTCAGACCCCCCAGAATGACAAACTAGAGCTAGCAAATCTTGTTGCTCTGAGTTAAGCCAAGTTCCCCCAACTAGAGAGAAAGAGAAAAGGAAGAAGCTGGGGAGGAATGTAGCTCTGTGACTTTGCCAAGTGAGTGTCCATGAGGCCTCATGGCAGTTGCCCTAATTCTACTCACCCTCCCCCACATTTTTTGAGACAAGGTCTTACTCTGGCATCTAGGCTACCCCAAACTCAGTATGCTGCACAGACTGGAGGACCCAAGTTCAGATCTCCAAGCCTATATTGGTGCTGGGTGGGCATGAAGGCCTACCTGTGACTCCAGCTCCCCAGCTGCTCAGTGAAACTAGCAGCATTGCTGAGCTCTGGGTTTGACTGAGAGAGATCCTGCCTCAAATTATGAGGTGAAAGAGTGATCTAGGGTAATTCTAGGAATCCCATGCACTCTCACACATGTGCATGTACACCTATACACATACATGTATGTCACACATGCAAATGCGCACACATACACAAACATACACACAAAAATGAAAAAAGGAAAGAAATCACTAAAATATGAGAAAAATCACTAAATTAATGGCTATAGTGTGGCACTTGATAATTTTGTGCTTTCGACAACTTAAAAGGGGACAACATTGGTCAGAGGAAAACCAGATGATTAATTAATAAGCGTATAAATGGGGCTTGGTGTCTTTAGGCATCAGGAGGGGAGGAAGCCCACAGAATTCCCCACTTAGCAGAGCTGTCTGTAATCTGAGCCGCGCACTACTGCAGCTGTAAGGGACTGCAGCCCAGTGTGCCACACACCTGGACAGCCCTCACCTTTCACCCGTCTCTGCTTATGTATGTTTAATGCAGGGAGACTTCCCAGCCTCCGGGTCCTGCCACATAGAGACTAGAGCCTGGCTAGTTCAGTGATAGATGACTTATCTAACATGAGGCTCTGGTTTCCAACCCTATTAATACACACATGTACATTCCAGCACATTGGCTCATGCATGTGTACGCACACACACACACACACACACACACACACACACCCTGCTGCTGGGGAGGCTCTCCTGGACTATGGTGTTGTCTAGTACACAGTCTGAATACCTGTTTACTTGTCAGCACAGGAGCAACTTTTACCTTCTTTTAAAGAAAATCTTAAATTGTATTTGTTTTGCTTTGCGTATGTGTATGTTTGTGTGTGTGCACACATGTGAGAAAAGCCAGAGATTGATGTCAGGAGTTGTCCTTTATTGCTGCCCACCTCGGTCACTGAGGTAGCAGCTTTCCATTGAACCCTGAGTCTGCCCATGTGGCTAGTCTCAGTAGCTGGCTTGCTCTAGGGATCCTCTGCCATCTAAGGCTGGAATTACAGACAGGCTGCCACACCGATACATAGGTTCTGGGGATCCAAACTCTGCTCCTAACACGTGTACAATAAGAACTTTTTGTTGTTATTGAGACCAAGTTTCTCAGTGTAGCTCTAGCTGTCCTGGAACTCACTCTGTAGACCAGGCTGGCCTCGAACTCACAGAGCTTTACCTGCCTCTGCCTTCCAAGTGCTGGGATTAAAGGTGTGCGCCACCACTCCTAGCTTCCTTGTCCCTTTTATATGGAAAACAAAACAGTGATCCAAATCATCTATCATGGCATGAGGGCAGAGCCACCCCATCCCACCCTGCTCCTCATGATTCTTGTGATGCTTAAAAAAAATAAAGTGAGGGGGCTGGAGAGATGGCTCACTGGTTGAGAGCAGTGATTCTTCTTTCAGAGGTCCTGAGTTCAATTCCCAGCACCCCCATGGTGGCTCATGGCCATCTGTAATGAGATCTGGTGCCCTCTTCTGGTCTGTAGATATACATGCAGACAGAACACTGTATACATGATATAAATAAATCTTAAAAAAAAAAAAGGCGAAATGACTCAAAGTCCCGCCAGAGTGGGAGGTGTGGACAGATGGACAGGCAGAGACTTTAACAGTGACCATCCTTCAGCACTGGAAAGTGTAGCACACAAGGATGCTTGGTGACTCTCAGGTGGAGGGGCAGACACAAGACAGGCCCTCTGCAGCCTCAGGGGATGGGACTGGGATGCACTCAGATTCCAGATCTCTTCTCTGAACACAGAGCCCACACACGGCACACCCTGTGTTCTCAGTCCTCTCGAGCCCCGTTATGACTCTGCACACAATGTCCGCACGAGGTAAGTAGTTGCTGTGCTACGCTGTTTAGTGAATAAATAAATAATAAGTAGCGAGAAAAAACCTCAACCAGGGTCTGGTGACACACACATAATCCCAGCACTCCAGAGCCTGAGGCAGGAGGACTGCCAAGAGTTTGAAGCTATCCTGGGCTACAGAGAAAGAGCCTTGGAAAAGCCAAAAGAAGGGCTGGGAAAAGGCTCAGCGAGTAAAGGTGTTTGCTGCCAAGTCTGATGCCCTGAGTTCCATCTTCAGAACCCGCAGGGTAGAGGTAGAGAGAGCCAACTTCTGAAAGCTGTCTAACCTTTGCATGAATACACACATGTTAAAAACACACAAACAAAAACCAAAGCCATTATATACAGGGAAGACAGGCCCTGGTCCTGAAAGCAACTATGATAAAATTCATTGTGTCATTAAAAAAAAAGACATGTTAGTATCGGGAGCCAGAGAGGGTGAGGAGGGTGAGTATCACCAAGACACTCCACACGAATGACCATCAGAACATGCCCATGATTGCACAGTGAATGCTGATGAGAACACTGAACCAGAGGCCTGGCCATGCCTGGGATCCAGTGTTTGGCTGTCTGCGCCTGCAGGAGAGGAGCCCATGGAAACGGGAGCGACCTTGTGCATTCTGACTCTGCCTGGAGAAGCTCAGGCTGGCTGGGGCAGAGCCATGCAGTCTGGGTATGTCCAGAGAGAGTAAAATTAATGCCAATTAAGGAAATGGCTGTCACAGGGGTCAGGTGAAGCTTTACCCCTGGGAGAAGAAGGGACATGGCAGCTTGTGGAGTGCCAGAAATTCTATGTGGTGAGGTCACATCAGTGACGTTTTTAAAACTGTACATCTCTGCGTTTGTGTCTCAGCTCCCGAGGAAGGGTGTGTGTGGCACTCACCACGCGGTGCAGGTACTTGTGGTCGTAGGCGCCGATGGGCTTGCCATCCAGCAGCACGCGGCCGCCCTGCAGTGGGTAGACGTTCTCTAGGATGTTCACACAGGAGCTCTTCCCGCTGCCCGAGGGCCCCACCAGGGCTGTCACCTTGCCTGGGGACAGGCTGAAGGAGACATTCTGCAGGGACACAAGATGTCCAGGTCTCACAGGCAGGAGGGCATCCCCCAGTCTATCCCCTGCCCTCTGCCTCAGCTGGTGCTGCTGGCCAGCACCTGAGTGGTCTTTCTAGGACAACAGGCATGGGGGGAGGGTTGGGTTTTGTTTTTGTTTTTATTTTTTTCTTTGAGGTACTGGGGATTGAACCCAGAGTCTTATGCATGTTAACCAAAATCTCAACCACTGAGCTACATCCCTATCCTGGGACCCTGGGCAGTCTAGAATTTCCTATACAGCTCAAGCCAGCCTTGAACTAGTGGCAATCCTCCTGCTGCAGACTCCCAAAAGGTGGAATTATAGTCCAGCTCTCCTTTCACTGACTGGCCTGGAACTTGACTTGTGGTCCTCCTGCCCAGGGTCTCCTCAGTAGCTGGAATGACAAGCCGGAGCACCAGGACTGGCTCAGTGGCTCCTTTGCTGGAGTGTGTTCTGCAGAGAGCCACCTGCTCAGCTCCTGCTTCCTAGACAGGTCTTACTCAAAGGTCACCTCTGAGGAGAAGTCCTGCTTGGCTGTCATTACCTCTCTCCTCAGCAGAACCCAGATCCATTACCTCGCTGAGCTTAGGATTGTGTTTCCATGACTGCAGCACACCTCTAGTCCCACCAATCTGCTTCTGATTAGTTGACTGAAGAGGCCCCTCTCCCCCAACACACAATCCTTTTTTTGGCACTAGGGATGGAAGCCTGCTAGGCAGACCCTCTACTTGAGCATTGCCTAGCCCTCTCTAACAGGCCTTCCTGGGGTTCAGTTAAGGGCAGGTTTCCTCAGTGGAGCCCAGGGCCTGGCCTTACTTGCTCCTGGCCACACAACCAAGATGTGGGAAGGATGGTCCTGGCAGACCTTGAGTCGCTCTTACCTGCAGGACCTGTGTGTGGGGCCGGGTGCGGTAAGTGAAGGTGACATTCTCAAAGTCCACCCGGCCCTCTAGGTGGTCAGGAGCCAAGCTCCCGTCATGCACCATGGTTGGCTGCCGGTCGATGAACTCGAACACCTTCTCAGCAGCCCCGACTCCCTGCATCAGGCCACTGTAGACGGAGCCCACGGACTGCAAGAAAGACATACACCCTGGTCCCACTGACAGTCCGTTCCTGACACCCACCAGTGATGGGGTGTGGGAAGTCCCAGAACAGAACTGCAGCTTTGGAGGAGATGCAGGGGACCCCCCAGATTCCACCTTCTGGTGACCAGCAGACGGTGACCATGAAAAAATGGAGGTGGTACAAAAACCTGATGCCCCTGTGACCTACGGCCCAGGGTTGGTCTTGTTGATTCTACTGCCACCACGCTGGACACTGCATGCCATGCAGAGGGGGTGTGGTGAGTGTGGCAGAGTGAGAATCAAGCCTTTTCTCTCTTTCTTTCTTTTTTAAAAGTCAGGGTCTATGTATGTCTGACTGTTCTGGAATTTGCTATGTAGCCCAGGCTGACCTCGAACTCCCAGAGATCTGCCAGTCTCTGCTCCCAAATGCTAGGATTAAAGGCATGTGCCAGTCTGGCAATTGTTTTTCCAGGGCTTCATGTAGTCCAAGCTGGTCTCAAACAACTCAATATGTGGTTGAAGAGGATCCTTTCAGACTGGATTTTACAATTTGGCCAGGCTGTCCTGAGGCTCACAGAGACCCATCTGTCTCTGCTGCCAGTATTAAAGGTATGCCCACCATGTCAAGGCACTGGGGAGGGTAAAAAGTCTATAAAGGGATAGTCATGGTATGGCCAGCCTGGGCTCCCCAACTCTGGTGATAGTGAAGAGTCTCAGGGATATCCCAGCTGCAGTGCTGGGGACTCTGAGTTGTTGCCAACTGTTAGTTCCCCGCTCTGCCTCCCACCAAGTCAAAGGCCCCAGACCTAACCTGCTTCTACCCCTCCAGTGCTGTGGTGGAGACCTGTACCACAGCAAGCCTCCTTGATTCAGTGCTGGGGATAGAACCTAGAATTACCCATGCTTAGCAAGAGCTCTACCAAGGGAGCCATAGCTTTGGCCCTAATTTGATTTTTACACGGGTCCTAATGAATACTCTGCATACATCTCTCTGGCTGCAAACACACCCCGTTATAAGCACACGCTGCAACAGCAGCCCTCTTGTTGGTAATGAGGTGGCTTCTCTCAGAAGAACAGAGAATGTCTACCTCACACAGCAAGAAGTGGCGGCACAGTCTGAGCGGAGGATGCCTGCCTGGCTCTTGTGCTCAGTCCCCTAGGTGCTATAATAGTGTCTACCTTGGGGACATAAGTTCACACCAACAGAGCACATGATTGCTGTGTAGACAGTGTGAGCACATGGTACATACTATGCCTGTGTGTTCACACAGTGATGTCATTACACAGTACACCCTCGCTATGCCTGTGTATTCCAACAGTGATATCACGTGTCCTGATTCAGAGCTTGTTTCTCTGGCATTGTTATCTCATACGCACCACGTTTGAGAAGGGTCTGAATGCAATCTTGCATGTACTCATTCTATTGGCTAGAAACGCACCCACCCGATACAAATCCAAACCTGTCGCTCTGCGCACCCTCCCCCCGGCTGCCCCTCACCTCCATGCAGTCTCCCAGCACAAACTCGTAGATGATGAAGGCGATGAGGTTGCCGCTGCTCATCTGCCCCGAGATGACAAGGTGGCCCCCGTAGTAGAGGATACTGACCTGGACCACCAGGAGTGTGAGCTGCAGAGGGGAGAGGCCCTGGGTTATGTTCCCAGGCCTTAGCTGCCCAGGGCCCTGCTCTTCTGTGTCCCCAACCTTGTGAGTGGGAACAGGAGAGTAGCTTCTTTTGGAACTCAAGTCACTGGACTTGGTGACAAGTGTCTTTCACTGGGTGCTGGAAGGCAGCCTTAAGGTCTCTGTATTCTCTGCCACAAATGGAAAACTTCATTGTCCCATCTGTCACTCATAACCCCACCCCCACCCCCCGCCAGCAACCCCTACAAAGGCCCCTAACTGGAGCAGGCTGTGGGCTTGGCAGCAGAACAAGGCTTCTTTGTAAGGCCCTGGCTGGCACATGCCACCCTCAAGTTCCTCTTCTGGGCCAGGCAGTCTTCATTGCAAAGAACATGGATCAGAGAAGTTGGTGCACCAATTAAGGTCACACAGCAGCCAGGCAGAGGCTGGACAGTGAGAACTTTTTGTTCCCTTAACTAGGCTCCTGAAGGGCAATGTCTTGGAGACCTCCTGCTATAGTCTTTGGGGAAGAGAGGTCTGGGAGATGAGACAACCCACAACCTACCCAGGATCCCTAGCAACCCTTCCCTACCCCAAGAGCCCTACTGTGCAAGAATTGGCAGAGAGACTCAGCAGCTGGCTGACCTTGTCCCTTCTCTTTTCCTTGACTGGCATTTTTAGGGGGTGTCTCAGGTAGTGACATTTGAATACTCCCTGCCATCTGGCTCCCCTGTACCCCTCCAGCTCCGTCCTCTCATGAAACTGCACCTCCCTGCCCCCACCACTCCTGGGCTGGCCCAGTTCCCACCTCCCAGGTTACTGGGACAGGGACAAACCACCTGAAACCTAGGTTGCGCCATAGTAGTCTGGGGAAACAAGGTCGTCCTGCCTGCCACTTCACACAGATAGGGGCAGAGGCCTCTGAAGGCCACTGTGGTCTTTCCAGGAAAGACTCTCAGATGGTTTGACACCCACGTGTGGGGACCCAGACTATTGCCCAAGCAAGGGTTCCCTATCTGGATGCCCATCCCCTCACCCCTGGCACCTGACCACACGCACCCCGCTGCCCCAGACATAGGACATGTAGGCCGCCGCCTCCTTCCTGTTCAGCTTGTACACCTGCTGCAGCTTGCGAAGGAATACCTCCGCCTCTTCCTCCTCATTGGCAAAGCTGCGCACAGTCTTCATGGCGCTGATGGTTTCCTCGGCTGTGGTGCTGGCTCTGGCCAGGGCACTCTGAACCTCCTTGGAGAGTCTCTGTGGACAGGAATGGGCAGGACAGTCTCACTCCTCTCCTGGACCCAGCTCCATCACATACTGCCTGCCCCAGCCTCAGTCCCACTTCCTTCTGATAGGGCCGTCTCCGAGAGCAGACCTCAGTGGAGCTCTTGGGGTGCCCTTTCTGAGGGCTGGGTCCTTTTTTTTTTAGATTTATTTTTTTTAATGTATGTTGGGGTTTTGCCTGCCTGCATGTATATCTGTGTGAAGATGCCAGATCCCCTGGAACTGAAGTTACAGACAATTGTGAGCTGCCATGTGGGTGCTGGGAATTGAACCCCAGTCCTTTGGAAGAGCAGCCAGTGCTCCTAACCGCTGAGCTGTCTCTCTAGCCCCTGGGTAATTTTTCTTTTTGTTTTGTTGGGTTTTTTTGTTTTGTTTTGCTTTTTATTTTTGTTTTTTGAGACAGTGTTTCCCAGCAGCTATGGAGCCTGTCCTGGAACTTGCTCTGTAGACCAGGCTAGCCTCAAACTCACCTGGCTCTGCCTCCTGAGTGCTGGGATTAAAGGTGTGCACCACCACCGCCCGGCTCTCTGAGTGACTCTTAAGTCACCCACCATTCCTAAGGGAGACTACTGACTCAGTTTTGAGTGAACCTTCCAGAAAAAGAACCTCCACACCTGGTCTTGCACTGGCCTAAGAACAGCAGGCTCTGTACTTTGCTCAGGCTGTTCACAAGAAACACCAAGTATTAAAGGGCAGTGTTTACTATCAGCATAGACTAGGAGAGGATGAGATCCCGGACGTGCGCACTGCAAACACCACTGCTCATAGAGTAAGCAGAGACAGCTGGAGGGAAGCGGCTGTGCTTCTGTCTGTCCCACAGGAATTAATACAAAAGCTGCCCCACAGGACAGGCGGGGATGGTGCTCTAGCTGGCTCCAGGATCTGAACGTCACACTTGGTCACAGGGAGCATGAAAGGCACACCACACCTGGGAGGAAACAGGTGGGGCCCTGAGTTATGTCTGGTTCTGTTGTATCTTTTTTTTTAAAAATCTTTAATTATAAAAAAATCTTTAATTATTGTGGTGGGGACATGGGCACAGATCTCCTGGCGTGTGTGGTCAGTTTTATGGGGTTGATTGTGTCCTCCACCGTGCTGTGGTTCTGGGGACTGAACTCAGTCTCAGGATTGCACTGCAAGAGCCCTCTAGCAGTCCCAGGCAGTCTGGCAGCAGGTGGTGTGTGTGTGGGGGGGGAGTTTGTAGGGATGGTAGACCCTAAAGGAATTTCTTCAAGGCTCCTCCCACTTGGAGGTGGTGCCTGAGGTGGGCAGAGATAGAGGCCAGCAACACTGCAGCAAAGTGAGGGCAAGGACAGAGAAGGGAAGGGGCTCCATTCCAACTTTTTACTTTTCCCCTCAGTGAGAAACTAGTGGAGAATCCATGAGCAGAGCTGAGGAAGGTGGCCTTTTCCAAGGCTGGAAGCTGGAGGAAATGTGTTTGCACAGGGAACAGAGACCCACTAGCTGGCCTGGAGCTTCTGCTCTTGAGTCCCTTCCCCAGCGGCGCCTGAGCCAGGCTAGGGGCCTAGACTTGCATGTCTGAACTCAGGAAAGACCTGGTGACCAAATGAAGACATAAATGAACACATACTACTTCTGAACAGCTTTGCCTAGCACCTAAGGCTCTTGAAGCAGACACAGGTACTGCCTGGGGATCGGGTGGCGCCTACCTTGTAGTACTTGCCGTAGATGTTGGACACCATCATGATGATGGGGAAGCCCATGAAGGTGACCAAGGAAAGCTGCCAGGACAGGCTGAACATGAAGACCACCACGCCTGTGACCTTGACCGTGTTCCTCAGGAAGATGTTGATGTTCTGGGAGACCAGGTCGCTGACCATGGTGGTGTCGGAGGTCAAGCGGGAGATGAGGTCCCCTGGAACACAGGCGGCTCAGCCTTCTGCGGCAAGGATGCCCAGAGCTGACAGGGTGGGCACAGTGGACGCTAAGGGGCTTCTGAGATGGTCAGTGTGAATCACATCTTTCTCGCCATGCCTTCTGGGAATGATAGGGGGCATTTCTGGAAGGCTAGGGAGCCAGCCCCAGCCCCTAGTACCAGTTTTTTCTTTGTTTTGTTTTATGGCAGGTCTCAAACAGCCCATCAAGGCTGGCCTTGACAGAATCACAGGTGTAGGCCACCACACACAGTTGCAACATCTTGCCTCCCCACTGAATGGGAACAGCAGCTGAATGTCAGCTAAGAAGGGCCAGCTTGGTACCACACACTCATTACAGAGAGATTTCAAACTTATTTCTGCCAACAGTCACTGGCAAGAATGGGTGAATACCCTCCTTAGAAATAGCCATCTGCGCTTGGAGAGGAACACATAACAGGTGTCTCACACAATGTGGGGTACTGGGCCAGGGGCCTTGCAACAGCCATTGGGTGTGCTGACTATGGGGCGTGGGGTGGGGAACAGGCTCCAAGGGTGAGGATTGGGACAGGACTGGCTGGTCTCTTGTTCCTTGCCCCGCCTGGGCTCCTCCCATCACACAGTCCACAGGAACTGTGCCTCTGCAGGCCACTCTCAGACTGAACTGGCCCCAATGAGAGGCCTTGCCACTGCAGGGACCTTAAGTGGCCTGGTCAGGGTCCTGTGGTAACCACAGCTCACCCCAAAACTTCCCCAGGCAGTTTAACACCCCAGGGCTCCACCCTGAGTTGGACCATAGGAAGGGCTAGCAGGGCAAGCCATGCTGCTGTTGGGTCCCACAAGAAGCTAGCTCATCCTGGACACCCAAAGTCCCCAGGAGGGACCAACCTGTGCGGTTCTCATCAAAGAAGCTTGTCTCCTGTGACACCAGGGAGCGGAAAAGACAGTTCCGGAGGCGAATGTTCAGTCTGGCAAATACGAGGGTGAAAATGCCGCCCCGAATACCTGCGGCCAATGAGCTGATTGCAGATGAGAGACGGTATAGCCGGTGTCCTTCCGGCAGGCAGCAGCCACCACCCACTGACCCCCCCCCAAAGGCAAGAGGACAGGCCACTCTGTAGGGGATGGCGCCCCAATAAGTCCCTCAGCAAGGGTGAGGGACTCAACACTGTCAGCCAGATCCTTCTAGAACAGCTTAGGAAGCTAGTCCTTGGGCCTGCACATTCACAAACCAGCCAGGGAGGGGAAAGCATATCCTCAGGGACTGGTGCCATCTTCAGAGACAGAGAGTGTGGCTTTAACTTGTGGCCCAACCAAAGGGTCCAGAGCTACTCTGCCCCCTGCTGCCCTCCCCCTGCCGAGGCGGCTACCTGCCAATGGCCAGCAGGCAGACGACGACGACGGCTGTGCTGAACTGGTCCATGCTCTTCTGGATCACAATGCTGTCAATCGCCCGGCCTGTGTAGTAGGGCAGGAAGGTCTCACCTGGAGGAGACAGGGCGGGCTCAGGGGGAGCACACAGGTTGCTCATCCAACCCATGGTCTGTTCTGCCAGTGCCTGTGTGCCCCTACAGTGGTTAATCGGTCAACTTGATGGGATTTAATTATCATGAAACAAACCTCTGGGCATGGCTGTGAAGGAGTTTTTCTACACAGGATTAACCGAGGTGGGAAGACACACCATAAATGTGGGCTCCAGGATTCCGTGAGCTGGAGTCCCTGACTGAATAAAACAGAGAGAAGCTGAGCACCAGCGTTCATCTCTGCTTCCAGACTGTGGATGCCATGTGACCTGCAGCCTCATGTGCCTGCACCATGACTCCCCCCCCGTGATGGACTGTACCAATGGTGAGCCAAGTTCGACCCAGAGAAGAAACTAATTACCCCCCCCCCCATAGAAAACACTGTGACGCATCTACACGCCCGGTGCTGACGTCAGTGACACCTGGGCACATGAAGCCACCTCATTCCCTCCAGAGTAGGGCCTGCCGCAGGTCCTGCCATCACCCATTCCACACAGCTCATCATCAGCTGAGAGGATGCCAAGGGTCTACCTTCTAGAACCAGGAAGACCTTGCTATTCTGGCTCCAGACTGTGCTGGTCCCTCCCCTCTGAGGGGCGGAGCTCTGCAGCTGGCAGGGTGATTCCTCACCCACAGGCTTCCCGATCTTCAACCAGCTGACTCAGTTGGTCCCAGAGCAAGGAAGGAGAATGGCTGAGATTCAGCCCAAGTTCATTCATGTTATTGATCACATATGTAAGAGGTGGGGCTTTGAGGTATGTTTTACTCAGAAGTTGGGATGAGCCTCTCAAAGCCCTGCCCTTCCTTTCCTGTAGCTGCTGGGGGACACAGTGCCTCTCTCCAAGGGCACAGCCTCGCTCACCTTGGATGCAGATAGCAACCCTCACCGGACACCAAACCTGGCAGCACCTTTTAGTTTTAGCACTGGGAATGCCCTGCTCTTGGCTACTCCAGCCCTGACAAGCTCCAAGGCTGTCAGATTAATCGAGTGCTAAAACGCCTGCTTCCCAAGAATCTGGAACGTCTACTCTCACAAAAATGGTTGGTACAGAAGCATGAACCCTCAAGGTTGGGTACCTGGTTCCTCTGGGTGTCTTTGGCACGGGCTGAGCTAGGCTCGAGGCTGGACACAGGTAGGGGCTTACATAACTGCACCTTGCCTTTCCGTGGGGCTCTGGCGCCCTCTGCTGGGCATGAAGTAGGAGCCTCGAGGAGGCTATCTGGCTCTAGTTAGATGGATTTTAACAGAGCTGCAGCTCTGCCTCCGTTTACTCATAGGGAAGAAACCATCGGTGAGCTCCGATGATGAAGGGCTGTGTGGTTCTGGGTGCTGGGGGTATACTGCAAACCCTTCTGAGGATATCTGTAAGCATCATGGACAATCCAAATCCTACACCGGGATTCCGAGGTTATTTCTCAACTCTGACTGCTGTTGCTGCCTAGGCAGGTCCCATTCTGTTCCAAGTTGCCCATCTTGCCTGGTGTCCTAGGGCTTGCTCCCCACTATAAAATTCACTCAGATCTTGTCCCTCTCAACATGGTCCATTTATTCCCAACTCACCTAGAGCAAGAAAGAGCCAAGGTCCTTGCAATGGCTCATGGCTTCTGCCCCACCTCTCTCTGCTCCAGCCATGCTTACAACCAAGTACCTTCTGTTTCAGGACCTGTGCACACTAACCCTCTGCCTAGAACACATCTTACCTCAGACATCTGTTCCCTTATCTCCTCCAAGTCCCAAATGTCACCCGGTGTTCTTATGCCTTTGGTATTTTTGTTCTTGCTATTTGTGGAAATGACTTCTTTCTACAGAGGCGGTGACTGGAGCGCCCAGCAGTTACATGCTCATCGCGTGCCCACATTTCTATACAGTTAGTTGAGATGCCAAGAAACTCAATGGAAGAATCCTGATTTACAGTGCTTGGGAGCTGAGGCAGGAGGATTAGAAGTTGAGGGTCAGACTCAGTGACATAAGACTGTCTCAAATAGCAAAAATAAGCAGGTATGGTATAGTACATGCCTATAATATCCACTTGGGAAGTGGAGGCAGAAGATGAGGAATTCAAGGCCAGCCTGGGACACGTGAGAGCCTGTCTGAAAACAACAAGGAAACAAGAGCTAATGAGTGCGTGAAGTGCTCATCATGCAAGCGTGAGAATCCGAGGTCCGACCCTGGCACCCACGTAAACAGCTGAGCTTGGTGGCAGACACCTGTGACTCCAGCACTGGGGAGGCAGAGGCAGGCTGATCCCGAAGCTCACTGGCCAGTGAGCCCAGCTGGATCGGTGAACTCCAGGTTCAATGAGAGACCCTGCCTCAAGAGATAATGTGGAGGGCGATTGAGGAAGACAGCTAACACCGACTTCTGGCCTCCACGTGTACCCACACAGGTGCCACAGATACAAAGAAAATAAACTCAAAAACAAACAGCAAAGAATCCCGGGCTGGTGAGATGGATCAGTGGGTAAAGCTCTTGCCACCAAGCCTGACAACCCAAGTTTGATCCCAGGACCTACATGGTGGAAGGAGAGAACTGACTCTCTCTTAAGTGGTCCTCTGAGCTCCACTCACAGGACACAGCATTTGCTCAACAAGCCCCTTCCCCCAAATGAATAAATAAAAATGTGATTTCCCAAATGAATAAATAAAAAAGTGATTTTAAAAAAAGTTAGGCAGTGGTGGTACATGCCTTTAATATCAGTACTTGAGAAGCAGAGGCAGGTGGATCTCTATCTCAGTGAGTTCAAAACCAACCTGGTCTACAGAGTTCTAGAACAGCCAGGGTTATACAGTGAGAACCTGTCTCAGATAAAACAGAGAGGCGGGGTGCATTCAAACACTTCTCCACTTGGCGGCTGGGGACTTTTCTTTTTGTGTGTAGGCCATGAGGGTACAGAAAGGGTCAGTGCATCCCACTGCAGGGTGAGAAACAGGCTCAGCTTGTCAGAATCGGTCCTGCTGGAGCCTGACTCGGACTGAGCCCTTAGCCTGATGGAACCCTGAAGGCTGCCAGAACTCAGTGGCACTGTAGGACAGCTGTACCCCTGGGGCATGTCACAGCAAGCCACAGGTCCACCATAGGCACAGGAACAAGGTAAAGGAGTGACATCTGGTGCCAGGGATCAGGACCTGGAGTGAGTCAGATCTGGCAATATCACCAACACAGTGACTGAAGGGCACACAAAGGCCAGTCAGAAGAACCCAAGATGGCTGTCCGAGAGAAGCCTAGGGCTTTGATGCAAGTGCAGAAGAAAAGTTAACCGGAAAGGGTCAGCCTGCTGCTCAAGGTCAATGTGCTTCCCGTGTGCGTGGATCTGTCTGGGGCATTTTATCTTCTTAGCTCATTGACCCACTCTCTGTCCCCCAACATCATCGGGATGTATGGTTTGAATTTTACAGCTTGTCAAAAGCTTGTATGATTGCCCCCACCTGGGACACCATGCAACCTTGTAATACCTCCTTCCTGCCCACACTGGGGCAGAGGACCAGACCTACAGCACCAGACAGTTCACTTTCCAATCAAGACACACTTCACCCTTCAGTTCCATCTAGGCACATGAGACAAGTTCATACAACAGGAGGCAGATGGGGAAAAAAAAATCTATGCATGCTACAGCCTTCACACTGTAGAATTCTATGCAGCTGAAGAAAATAATGAGGTCCTGTTGTAGGAAATGTCTAGAAGTCATTAAGTGGGGAAAAAAACCAAAACCCCAAGCAAACAACGTGCAGGGGTGGGGAGGCAGTGCAGCCTGTATGCTGGGAAACACCAAAAGCATCAGAGAGGACTAGGACTTGGGGAGATGCTCCCCATGTGCAAAAGCTGGCCAAGGCAGCAGTAGTGATAACAATAATCCCGCTGCTGGGGAGGCAGAGACAGGAGGATCCCTGGGGTAATGCCAGCTTCTCTAGTCAATCAGTGAGCTCCAGGTTCAGTGAGAGACACTGTCTCAAAAATCAGATGACGGCTGCTGAGGCCAATACTCAGATTGACCTCCGACCTCTACATCCACACAAGAGCACATATGCATGCACACATGGGTGAGGGAATAAATGGGTCTCCTGTCCACGTGGAAGTCTCTTATAACCTCTGTGGTTAACCATGGGCAGGACAATAAGGGCAATCGGGTAGAATTAGGGAAGCACACGTGGCACCGTTTCTGCCTTTCCATATCTTTGTTTTGTTGTTGTTGTTGCTGCTGTTGTTTTTTTGTTTGGGGTTTTTTTTGAGACAGGGTTTCTCTGTGTGGCTCGGGCTGTCCTGGAACTTGCTTTGTAGACCAGGCTGACTTTGAACTCAGAGATCCACCTGCCTCTGCCTCCCAAGTGCTGGGATCAATGGTGTGCACCACCACTACCCAGCTAGGCTTTTTTTGGGTGGGAGGTGGTAGAGGGTGGTGGGAAGTGGTAGGGGGAGGGGTTTGGTTATTGTTGTTGTTTTCTTCTTATTTTCTCTGTATTTTTGAAACAGGATCCTACTATTTGCCCAGGCTGGCTACAAACTCTCAACAATCCTCCTGCCTCAGCCTCTCAAGTGCTGAGATGACGAGGTAAGATCCCATACCCATTCTTTCCGGATCTCTGGGAGATGTGAACCACCTAAGTAATAGCACGTTTGTGGGGGGAAAGAGGTTACTGAGTAGCATGAGGTGCTGCTCAGGGTGGGCCAGATCCAAGACCCCACTTACCCAGAGCTGCTACGATGAGGAAGAAGGAGGCGGCAACTAGGAAGGCCACATCAGGCTTGGTGTACGACAGCAGCTTCTGTAGTGTGGCCCCGGATGCCTGCTCAGCAGGGGCCCCACCCTCCCCATGGAAGCCCTCAGTCCCGGGCTCCAGGGCCTCAGCGTCCGGCCGCACGGTAGAGAGCAGCCCCCATAGCAGAAAGGAGGCGGCCAGCGAGATATAGGTCCACACGAAGAGCGCCCAGAACCATGGGTCCCGAATGGGCCTGCGCACCTCTGAGAAGAGTAGCAGTTTGGCCATGGCATAGATGCCCACAAAGAGGCACACGAGGGTGATGACGAGCCACGAGGCCCGCAGGCGCCGTGGCCCCAGAGCGCTGTTCTTGGCCACACCAATGGTCGCCCCCAGCAGCAGGCAGCTGCGATACAGGCAGGCAGCCCAGAGGTCCAGCACCGAGTCGAAGATGTTAAAGTGGCGGATGTCCTCCAGCAGGCTGCGGTCCAGGTGGCTGAAGGCATAGATGGCCGTGGTCACACCAACGTCCATGCTCACGAAGGCCAGCGTCACTACCACGGCCTTCCACAGTCGCATCCTGTTGGCTGGAGGGTGATGGGGGCAGGCTGTAGCTCACCGGGGCAAGGCCATCATCATCTGCTGGGCAAGGCCACACCTGCTGGGCAACACAAAGATCAGGGCAAGAGGTGTGAGTGTGTTCCCAGGCTGCAGGACCCCAAGCCAGTCTGGTGAGCAGAGATTTCCTGGGGTGCTGGAAGTTCTCCTGCAAGCAATGTCTATTTAGCGTCTGTTGAAGGCCTGTTCTTTGTGTTTGGGATCTAGCAATGAGCAAAAATTTAACCAGGCTGCTGGGCGGTGGTGGTGCACGCCTTTAATCCCAGCACTTGGGAGGCAGAGGCAGGTGATCTCTGTGAGTTTGAGGCTAGCCTGGTCTACAGAGGGAATCCAGGGCAGGCTCCAAAGCTACAGAGAAACCCTGTCTCGAAAAAAAAATATTGAGTCAGGTATGGTGGCTCAGGCCCATAATCCCCACACTCCACTTCAGAAACTGAGGCAGGAGACTGCACTGAGTTTGAGTTTAAGGCTATCTTTGATTACAGAGATATACACACCCTCATTTAAAAAGCAAAACAGAAAAATGGCATCAAGGGAGACGGCTCAGTGGGCAAAACAATTGTGTGAGTGTGGGGATCTGAGTTAAATGCAGGGCCCACACAAGCCAGACACAGAGGGACACACTCTTCTGTAGTCCCCAGGGTGGGGTGGGGAGGTGTCCTACAGACAGTGCGTCCCTGGAGCTTACTGACCAGGCAGAATCGATGAGCTCCTATCTCTCAACACAAGGTGGAGGGCTAGAGAGATGGCCCACTGTTAAGAGCAGTTGTTAACGGTGCTCTTGCTGAGGACCCAACACCCACATCAGGTGGTTCACAACCACCCGTATCTCCAGCTCCAAGGGATCTTCTCTCTTCTAGACTCCACAGGCTCCTGCATGCATGTAGTGCACAATAAACTCATGCAGACATAAATATATTTTTTAAAAGGTAGAGAGCAATGGAGGAAGACACATCAACCTTGGAAGCACACATGTACATGCACACACATGCGTGCACACACATGCATGCACACACATATACCGCCACCACTGCCACAAAGAGAAACACAAAAACCAAGACCAACCGCAAGGATCCCTGCCCCTATGAAAATGACCTGCCAATATAGGAGGGAGATTAAAAAGGGACTGAGGGGCTGGAGAGATGGCTCAGAGGTTGGGTGCACTGGCTGCTCTTCCAGAGGACTCAGCTTTGATTCCTACACCCACATGGTAACTCAAAACTGCCTATAATTCAAGTTCCAGAGATTCCAACATCCTTCTGTGGCCTCCATGGATACTGAATGCACATGGTACACCCATACCTATAGGCAAAATAGCCATACACATAAAATAAAAGTAAATAAAACGAAGACATGACTGGTGCTGAATGATAATAAAGGCGTGTGACAGAGAGAGAAGTGTAAACAGGGGAGGTGACATTTGAGCAAGACTCAGAAGAGGTGAGGGAGCCAGGCTTGGTAGCAAACACCTGTAATTCTAGCTACTAGGGAAGCTGAGGCAGGAGAATAGCAAGTTCAGGGCTAGCCTGGGCAACTCAGTGAGACCTAGTGAAAAATATAAAAGAGAAAAGAGAGTTTAGATCAACTCAGAAATGGAGTGCTTGCCTATGTATGAGGCCCTGGTAATGTCCAGTGCACGTGCGTGCACGCACACACACATAGAAACAGAGAGACAGAGACAGAGAGAGACAGAGGGAGAGAGGAACTGCCCCAAGGGTATATGGGGGAAGGCACTTTGGACAGGTGGAACAGAAGGCCAGAGCCCCTTGTAGTTGGAGGTAAGGACTCGGGCAGAGAAGGCAGGTGGGGATGAGGATCCCCTGGAGGACTTTGTCACCACTAAGATTAGCAGAGCTCAACAGATGGCCAGTCTCGACCGTTGCGTTTGCACAAGGTGGTGGTGAAGCTTAGTGTGTGGGTATCAGGCCTGGCACGGCTGGCACACACTAGCCACTGCTGATAGCTGCGCATGCTGTAGCTCGACTCACCTTTCCCTTTCTCAGGTTCCATGGCAACCCAGAGACCTTTGTGTCTGCTTGGAAGTTTCCAGAGTCCTCACATCCAGCCTAGGTTGGCCCTCACTCCTCACCTAGACCCCCCTGTCTTTCTCTGGATTTTGCTGTTCACGCCACTCGAGTTCCTCCCACAGAGCCCCTGAGGACTCACCGAGGCTGGAGGGCCCAGAGCTTTAGGGACTCTGGGGTGTGGGCCTCGGGTGTTTGTTTAAGGTAGGTTTAGGACAGACTGGGGGTGACCCCAAGTACCACCTCCTGATCAGATCTCCCTAAGAGGGGGCCGCAGTGAGTGACAGGAGATCCGACCTGAGCGGTACCTTTCTTCCATAGTTCTGGGGGCCACACCATGAGGACTGACTTTGAGCTGTAGTGTGATCTAACCTTGTACATGAGCCTGTATCCATTTACAGCTGGGGAAACTGAGGCATGGGGAGACAAAGTCACCTGTTCAAGGCATTCAGTCAACATGGGCCCAAAATAAAGCAGGACAGGAGCCCCTGTGGGAAGGACCCCAGCACCAGGGTCCTCACCTGTGTGCACTGCACGCCTGACATACAGCAGGCATCTAATACTTGTATCGCATGCTTATGGAATGAGCCAAGTCTCCATCACCTGCTCTGCATGCGTTAGAGTACCCTCAAGATGACTCTGTGAGGTCTGCACAGTCATCTTCTCTGTGCAGCACATTGAGAAAATGAGGCCTAGAGAAGTTGAGAATTTGCCCAAGATCACACAGCTGGTGAGCAGCAAAGCAGTAACTTCTGAATGCAACCGACATGAACAGGATGAGTTCCTTTAAGGAAAATAATCGGCATCACTGGAGGGCTCAGTCAGGAAGCAGAGGTGGCAGTCATGAGTTGGCATCCTCTGATAGAAACATGAGCAGGGTACTGCTCTAAGTAATTTCCATACATTGATGCAAGACTCCCATGAAATGTATTCTAATTTTAGTTTAGATACCTGAGGCACAGAGAGGTCAAGTGACCTGCCTCAGGTCACACAGCTAGGCAGAACTCCAAAATCTGTGCTCCACACCTCTATACTTGATGGCAGTCTCTCCCAGGTGGATGTGCCCCCGATACTGCTAAAGGTGTGTATCTGGCATGCAGAGAGGGCAGGGAGGGTGATGGTCCTAGCAGTGCCAGGCAGACTGAGAGCTATGACTTGATTAGTCAGCATCTGCCTTTCCAAAGGGAGCCAGGGCCAAGTGGGGTTAGTGCAGAGAGAAGGGATGAGACAGGCAGGCACCCGTACCCAGGCCTTCCTCCATCCCTGCCGGATCCGAGCTGCCAACGCAGCTCTTGGGCTCAGTCTGCTGCAATGCAGACGCCTCAGGGAGCATGAGTGGGTGAGTTCCACTTGGAGCCCAAGAAGGGAAGCTCCTGGCCCAGCGCCACCCAGGCCTTCTGCCAGGCCAGGGCTGATCTCACAGGGCCTGCCAGGTATCCAGCTGCTGCCTTCCTGCGGTGGGCACCAGGGGTCCAAGGCCCCTAGGAAGGGGCCAGGAGTGAGACAGAAGACCAGCCAGAGAAGGGCAGCTAGCCTGAAGCCCAGAAGCTAGCCAGTCCATGGAGATTCCTTCCTGACAATCTGACAGCCCAGGTAGCCAGCTGCCCACCTAGGACCCACATGTGCCCATGTCCACTGGAGAGAACACTCCAGATGTCAGCACCACAGGCTAGGTGAAGCCCTTCAGCAGGAGGCAAAAACAAAGCCTGGGAAGGAGGAAGGGGAAGCGTCTGGGGTACTCCGGGCAGAGCACCACAGAACCTAGGGTACCCTCCCTCCTGGGAGCTGCATCCATCTACTCTAAGCCCCAGGGAGCAGAGTCCAAATCAGGGCAGAGCAGGTTATAGACCTGGGGTGGGGGCAGGGGCGGGATGGCAGGTTACTCTGCTGTTAAATAATCCACAGTGCAGAATGGAGAGAAGGACCACAAGCACTTAAGGCTGCAAGCTGGGAGGACACGGAGGTTGCTGGGAACCACATGCCTATCCTCCATCTGTCCGGACTCCGAGGACGCACAGCTAGGTGGAACTGGAGGGCAAACTGTGGGCACACAGGTGATGTACATGGCCCCAGAGACAAGGGCAAGATGGTGGTCAGAGACAGAGCAGGCCTTGCTCAGGGGCCAGTAGGGGCCAGGAAGTCAGGGCACATTGCCTTGACCCAAATGCTAAGGCATGCATGGCACCGGACTGGCAAGTGATCCCAGCGCCCCCGATAGTGTTTTGTTTTGGTGCTGGGTGTAGAACTCAAGGCCTGGTTTGCTAGGCAAGCACTCTCCCGCTAAGCTCCATGACAAGCACAGGCAGTCTTGTAGAAAGGCCTACAGCTGTCAGTGTGGGCAAGGGTTGTCAGGAAAAGCCAGGAGAGAAGCAGCTACCATCAGCATTACAACAGTTACCAGTCTGGGGTCTTCCCTGGTACCTATACCTCCCAGTTTCGTGACCCGGTGCCCTGGGAGGCTCACAGCCACCAAGCCCATTAGAGCTCCAGGGAAGCCCAGACTTTACCCTCTATTGGAGGAGGAGGAGGAGGAAAGGCGCTCCCAGCATAATTAGGAACTGCAGGGAAAAGGTCCTGCCTCAGGTGGCTCAAGTGACTCTCATTCAACCCTCACTCTGCTGCCCGGGGAAGCGGGTCGCTGGTCGGCTGGTACCGACTGCCCTAGTTGCTCTGGGGTCTCTGGAGAACAGGACACACCCAGGCTGGGTCCACATGGCTCCATCCTGACTCCAACTCCCGCCCTTGCTGGGCCCCACCACATCCCACTGCTGGGACTGGCACTCCGTCGGGCGATGCCAGGTGGCCTCAGGGAACCTGGTGGCAAACCAAGGAGGTTCTGACACCTGTCCCCCACGCCGTCTGCAGCAGGGGCACGGAGGCCACCCATCTCCAGGGGGTGGGGCGGAGGGCAGGGAGGCGTCAGCCGCGCTCGCAGCTATCTCAGTTAACGCAGGCCGGCGAGGAGGCGCCCCTGGGACCTCACAGGCCCGTTTGCCGGCAGGGAAGGCTCGGCCCA